GATATAATCATTTTACAAGCATCTTTTCCGGTTTTTGTAGATCGACCTTCTCTTACAGTTTTTCCCAAAAGTCCGCCACTGAAGAAATTTTTGGAGTGGCTAAATTGTAGATCAGACGTCAGTCTACAACTCTATTTAAAAAAAACTTCAGTTTACATGATTTGGTAGAGATAAAAACAACTTTCATTCTTGCGGAAGTCAATTTCCGCTCTAAATGTAGACTGACTTTTTGCAACTTGTTTTGCTCAGAACTAATGAAGCATGCATTCGTTCTCGATGAAACTTCTACACTAGANAAAGTTGTACTAGCAAAAGTAATTTCAGATCGAATCCTCATTTTGTTCCTTACTATTTTTACATTATAGGGGAAAATGTAGACCGACTTTTTTTTTAACTAAATGTAGATCAACCTTTTTTCGTGAAATTTTTGGTCAAAACTAAACGAAAATCATCAATATCGTACACCAGTCGACTCCTCAGACTGCGGCGAGTTTGACTACCTAATTTTTGGAGCTCTAAAATCTACAGTCTTTGCTAAAATAATGGATAATTCTGAAAGTAGAATCACATAGCGAAATTCGGACTTTTTAGATTTTAACACTAAAGAATGAAAAAACTTTTCTGCGGTTTTCCGGCTTGACGCATTTGCTCACAGTCCCACTGTACTGCTCGAATCATTCTCTGTCGAACGATGTAGAATACATCTATTTCAACCCTTTTTCTAGCAAAATCCTGCCAAAAATTCTGTGGCAAAAACTGAAAATTGTCTCCCTTCTAACTCAGCCAGCATGAGTCTGGTAGTTAGGAAACTTTTATAGGATACTTGGCAGAGACAGAGGAACAAAACGTACCATTCAAATTTTTTTAATGAACACTTTCATTTTTTTTTATCGATTGTACCAGAAAGTTACGTTTCTCTCATATAAACTCAACTCTTACATTTACAAATTTTATTTTATTTTTATCTTGAAAATGACCATTAACTAATCAAAAGCACAATTTGTCTGATTTTAGTTTTAAAACCGTTTATCAGTTACTAGAGACTGAAATAGAACTCATTTCTGGATCGTGGTATCTTCTTTTGATTCTTTCAGAAATGAGTTCCGTTTGAGCCTCTAGTACCTGATAAACGGTTATAAAACTAAACCTAAAACTAAATTAAAATTGTACCGAGTCGAGTTTCACATTTCGTACATCTAACTTTAAATCAATTTTAATAAAGACACTTGACAATGTTTTTTCAGCTGCTGTTAAACTATTATTGATCTTATTCAAAAGCTTGCCCATTAGAGAAAATAAGTATTAACATCGGTCATTCTACTATTGTGTATCAATATACATACATCATTTATTTTCCTCTTTATACAAATTAATAAATAGATTACGAAAAACACTGACTAATACTCACGATGAGTTTACAAACAAATACATAGAAATAGAATAGAAAAGAAAAATCAGAGAGAAAAGCACCGGGAGCAAATAAGATAACAAATTATAGAAAAAAAAAAGTCGTCTTTGATAATCATTCATTTATAAATAATGTCCACACTTATTATCAGACTTTTACTGTCACTGTTGACAACAACAGGAAAAAAAAAGTCAAAAATGAATAACAACGTTAATTTATATTTCAAAATGAGTGTTAGAAGAAGTGGCTGTAGTTGTTGTTGTTGTAGATAAGTCTCGTTTCGTGTTACTTGTTGATAAATCAAGTTCTTGAAATGAAGAAAACGTTCGAAGATTTAATTCATACAATTTATGACAAACATCAGTAATTGATGGATTTTGTTGAATAATAACAAGAATATCTGAATAGAAAAAAACAGAAACAAAGCGATACTAGTTAAAGTTCAATGTATAGTCAACTTACTTGCTGATGAATGCTGTTTAAATGATTGATAATAAATTGCAAGAGCCACATCTGTTTCACTATTTTCCTCATAACCAAATTCTTCAGGCCAAAGAGATCTAGAAAAATTAATTATCATCATTATTTATCTTTTTTAAAAATTCAAACAAATTACTAGATGGCAGAAAACATTTTTAGAAAATTTTTATCATATTTTCATGATTAAACTTTTCCAAAGTAAATAATCTCTATATAAACTTTTAAGTTCTATACGAATAAAATTTTATTACATAACATACTTTGCTGATCTTAAATATTTAATGCAATTTGAATAATGTGCAGCATGAACACATTGAAATACATATGCATAAGCTGTTTCAGGACTAGGTAATAAATTTGTTTCTATTGTTGGTTGATCTTCTTTACCACATTTAATATCTTGTAGAAAATCATGTAATCCATTGAGAGCTGTTGAAAATTCAGTTGATAAATTAATTATATTTGTTGATGTTAAATCTCGTGCTACAGATGATAAATTATTAATTAATTTTGAAAAACTTTCAGCTAATGTAATAATTTGAAAAAACATATCTAAATATATTTAAAAGTTAAAAAGATTGATTTTATTTTAAAAAAAATTTATTTTAAAAATACTTACTATACAAATGTTTACACATATGTAATTTTTGTTCATGACATGCAAAATTATCATTTGTTTTATAAACAATTTCACCTAAAGACTGAAGTTTTAAATTAGCTTTAACAGAGTCAAGACAATCGATGGCCACCGCTTTTTTTGCCAAATAATTAATATAATTTTCATTCATTTCAACAACAATTAAACAGTGTTTTGTTAATAATTGATATGTACTCATAATATCCGGATCAACAAATACTAGTGAACAATCGAGTTTTTCCATTACCATATCAAGCATATTGACTAAATTAAAAATAATGTTAAGAAATAATAATGAGTCTCATTTTATGTCTATTGGTTTCTTATCAGATGAATATTCAAAATACTTCATTGTGAAGTGAAGAAATTATATGTACAATGAACAAACAACAAGACAGACGTTAATGATTTTTGTTCAAGTTTTTTTTTTTTTTTTATGAATAAAAGGATACTAAATTGAGAAACAATCTGACGAAATCTATTATCCATAGCTAAACAATGGCATGCTTCATGCACAAGAATTGATAATCGTCGACGTGTTTCCTAAATAAATGAAAAAGAAAAATTTATACTATATTCAAATTAATATACAAATTAGAGATTTGATTTTTATACTTTAAATAGTTTTCGAAATAAAATAAATGTTTTAACACTATCGGCAGCATTTATGTCATCAATAACGATTTTTGCATGTTGTCGCCATGAATCTTCAATATCATCATTACTTATCGTCATCACATTTAATATCCCCATATTATGAATTGAAGTATCGGGTGTATCTTCACTAAAAATGAGAAAGAAAAACAATTTTTTTAGAATATGAAGATTATCGTGTTGGGGTGAGTTTCTATAGTGATTACTCATAGTCTTAGTAAGATTGGCTACCGTAATGAAAACATTTTTAAAGAATTATTTAACATTAAGCAATTAAGCATTATAAGCAATGAAGTTATATGTTAATAAAGAAATATCTGCCAGAGCCACAATAATGCGTTTCTAAATATATTGATATAACAGCAGAAAAACGAAAAGTGCGATTATAATTGATCAAGTAGACACAATAAACAAAAGATTATGTGTTCTGAATAAAGCTGATGCAATTCACATTATTTTTCCTTTGTGTGTGTGTGTGTATGTGTGTGTGTGTGTGCGTGTGTGTGTATATATATACACTATCGATCATTGGACATACCACATATACGAAAAAGAACGACTGTTGTTATTCTTTTTTTTGTGTTTAATTTGTTCTAATCTATCTACAATTTGGCAACAACTAGAATAATAATTAATAAAACGTTGATGCTCAACTATTCTTCTAGTAGAAAAAAAAAGAGCTGTTTTTCTATCATAGTTCGAAGGTTAGTATCAATTTTTTTATTTCATGCAGCTAATATAAATAGGAAGCACCCCGCTAATTTTAGATCTAATATGACAAATAAGATAATTTTACTTACGACATTACGGATTCACCATTTCGTTGACGATGTTGTTGCTCTAAGGATGTAAACTCATCCATATTCATCGTTCTTGGATTAATATCAGCAAGTTCTTTATGATTTGTATCACTTGTACTATGCTAGAAAGAACACAACACAACTGGGTCAGAGTTTAATAAAAAGAATGGTATAAACGTGAATACACATGAACTTAATTTGAATTTTGAACATAAACTAAACTAAACCAAACCATATATTTTAGGTATTACATTTCGAAAAACAAAAAAAAAACACTTGCGAAGCTATTGTGTTAATGTGAAAGCAAATTTTTTGACGTCTGCTTAAAACAACATCTCTCTTTCTCTAAACTTATAAAATGAACGTACAGCTATTTTAAAAAAGTATCTACTATGTGTCAAAATATAAGACAGTTCGATGTTTTTTGATAACTTTTGAATGGTAACAGGAAGAGACCTGCGGTTTTCACTTTTATAAAATAGACACTTGAGGACATCGATCTATGAAAAGGCCTTCCGGACAGGTTTACGATGGTGTACCTTTCGAAGGAAAAAGTCCGAACTCGCCTTTTGCAGACTTCACGTTGTGAGAAGGGCTCAAAAATCGTTTGTTATATAGAAGAGACTTCGCTGTACACATTTACACAAGTCCTAGCTTTTTATATCTTATAGTCCGGGAGACATACCTATCTCCCAAACCTGAGGTCTGGGGCCGTCAAAAATACACAACATATAGGTTATCGACCAAGGAACTCTGAATGAAGCTTTTAGAAAATCGGGTTTTCATGTTTGGATCAATGTCGAACAAGAAATTTTAGAAAATGGTTATTTCTCAATGAAAATCGCTCAAACTTTCAGAATACGTTCAGATCGATTAGCTATTGCAAAAATAAGTGAGAAAAAGACAGTTCGGAAAGGCTTTCCATTTTTGCGATTTCTGGAAATTTTTTAGAAAACTTTGATTAACAAGATTTCTATATATGTAATTTTGTCCATATAGTTTTATTAACCATATCAAACTGAATCTGTTTTGAAAGTTTTTTGAAGTTGAAGACTTTTTCCTTCGAAAGGTACACCATCGTAAACCTGTTCGGAAAGCCTAACTTTTCGATAGGTCGATGTCCCCAAGCGTCTATTTTATAAAAGTAAAAACTGCAGGTCTCTACCTATTACCGTTCAATAGTTATTCAAAAAACAACGGACTATCTTATATTTTGAAACAGATAGTATTATAATTTCTCTAAATTCATAGAGAATTCATTAATATAGGGAGAAAATTTTAATAAAAATCATCTAAAAAGAATGCATAGAACTGCAACACAGTATCTCATTGAAATAAAAAAGATAAGCAAATAAAAGCGTAAATATAAGTAAACGCTGGCCACTGGCGAAGCACAAATGTGTTGGAATATAGATGCGGTGATATTAGAAGCATAAAGCAAAAGAGGTTATTTTTTTTGGCTTTAGAGACCAGTTATACGTATATGAAGAATGCGTAAAATATAAAACGTAACCAAATGCAAAAAAAAAAGAAAACCTTTGACGACAAAACTACTTTGTGCTGCATAAATGGTATTTTTCCTCGAATTTTTGATTTTATTCGATAAGGATCCAACCATTCTGTTGATAAACTTCGTAATGTATTACTGATACTTCGTCGAGGCTATAAACAGGCACATATTGAGCATCATAAAAAGTAAAGCGCCTATAAATCTCACGTATACAACATGAAAACTCACGATATTCTGAACGCAAAAAAAAATGAAGAATTTAATAGTAATTGAAAATTACCTCTGTATCCGGTGGTAAATGTGCTTCGTGTCCATCATCAAATGGTCCGTCATCTTCTTCACCAAAATCGGTTGTATTTGTTGTTATTGGAAACATAACTGATACAGAATCCTAAAGACATGACATAATAAATATTTTAACATGTTTTAAAACATAGGTAGAGATATCAATTACCTCATCATTCAGAAAATCAAATTGTTTTGATATAAATGTTTGTTCAACATTTTCTGAATTCATAGATTCTTTACTCGATGAAGGTAAACTACCGGGAAGATTTGGTTGTTCAGCTAAATCACTTGCTTGACTGAATACAACCTTGAAACATTATTAAAAAAAAAGTGTATTTACTATAAAAAAAATAATGTGAGATATGTTTGTTCAACACTTACACTAGCACTTCTATTTAAAGGTAATCGTGATAAACCAACTTGTTTACCACATGCATACATCAGTGCAACGAGGCGTTCACGTGTTCTTGCCTAACAAGAGAGAAATATGTGATAACTGGAGCATTATTAATTTGAAGAAGAAAAAAAATAGTAAAAAATCAAATTCAGTTAAGAAGAGAATGAATGTGACTAGACTACTTCTTGATATAAAATCCTAAAAAACACCTACTTAATTATATTCTTTCTACTTAATCATGTTTAAAATCTCAAATTTGAATCAAAATAGAAAAATTCTAAACTCAAACCTGTGATTGAGCAGCATATTTTTT